TGTTTTTCCGCGGTTATCCCTGAGGATGGGTTCAAATCAGGATCCGAACCATCAAAACACTGAACTTTTTGTTCCAGCGATCGCACTTACGTCTTCAGAATTGCTTCCTTGAACTCGCCTGTTCACTCATATCAGCAACATGTTATCGCTTGTGATGGCTTACATAGGTGGACTCTTAACAGTGATTAAGTGGAAGTCTTTACTGTCGCCTGCGAAAATTGCACTCCCTAGAATTAACTTTGCAAGCAGCATGCGTTTTCCATTGATTGCCGATGCTTCTATAAATTCAAGCATAAAAGGCATGCGCAAATATATAATGTCTTGCGTTTGTTTTGTAAACGATACGTTTTGCAATTTGGTACTTGAAAATGGTAGCTTCCGGGTTAAAAATTGTTTAATTATGAAACGTTTTAGAACCGTAAAATCTCAGGTCAAATAGCGTCTTATCTAGTCGTTTATGAATAATAATTTTGTAATATTAGATGTGTTCCACATTTATTGCAATATTTCATATGGTATCTTCTGAATGCCATAGGAAAACCGATTACTTTTCCCTCGATCTTCTCAGCTGATACTTTGAAAACTCTACACATTGGGGTAACAACAGTTTGGGTTCAAAGTTAGATACGGGTGAAAGTTATTTTAAGACTGAAGTATATAGCTATCTCGAGTAGAAGGTTTCAAGAAGACTTTATTTGCTACAGAATGAGTGAAATATAAAGCGTGTTGTCGCATTTTTTCTATGAAATATGCCTGAGTTTGTAAGGACCTTGAAAACCCTTACACCAATATACAGTAGATTACATATCTGATGAAATGTTGGGGATTGGGGGATTTATCACAAAGTTGAGGTTGTTTATTTAGTTCTTTGGGTTGACTTGGGGTGCAAAATGCTGTTTACTAAGATTGAATTCCGTTCAGATCAGTATACTGGGAGAAATGGCAGAAATGGGCGTAATTCGGCGTTTATTGATATCCAAGGAGTTTCCTACGCTATTAAACGCTGCGGAAAAAGGCTTCTTGTTTGTTCATGTTGCACTAGGGAAGAACATTCATGAAGAGCAGGAAAATTTTAATTATACCTGTTTACAAAACGGAAAATTTTGTTTTGAGTCCATGAAATTGAGGTTAGTGTACGTACGAGATACAGCACTATAGTCGAGAAAAGATCGATGAATTTAGTTAACAAATTTTTGCCCCACAAAACTGTTACGTTTTGTGTCCTAAAGATAAGTAATAAACCTACAAGAGACCAAAATGTGTTTTAGTACGCCGAAATTACTAGGCCTATTAGACTCTACATGAAGGTCACGGAATAACATGTGTTTTCTAATTACACATCCATAAATAACTCCATCCAAATGTTGTCAAAATATAGATGAAAATCAATAATTATAAAAACTTGAAACGGGTTCTTACTTTATTGTTATTATAGTTTGGGGCACGCCACGTGTGCTGACTTCCCGCAAAATGACTATTATTAAGTTATCGAACATATTTTGAGATAGTGCATCTACTGTATGTCTTTCAAGCATTCATTTTTATCGAATGTGCTTTTTGCAGGCAACCGAAAAGGTATGTATTCAAAATCCAGCACTCTGGCCTGATGGACATCATGTGATTAGGCTTATGTTTCCAGGGACCCAGTTGGGAGATAGTCTTATTTTCGAGGAGATCAGTTTCAGACTTCGATACATAAATGTCAGACAAACAAGCTTTGTCCTCGAAAGCGATAGTTGCCTGGAAAACACTCTCGAAGAGCATTTGCGTATTATTTGACGCCCAGGCACGGACGGCCGTTGGCTTCAGGGATTGCGCTCCAGAGCCTTCCACACGCTTTTACTAATTATCATAAGGTCTGACTCTGTGTCAGTCTGCAACGTGATAGGTTTGCCATCTAGGCTGACTGTCAAATAGTTTCTATCTTCGCAACTCAGGGCATGTGACCTGCTTTGGGTTAAGGCATTACATCTCTTTCTTGGACTGAGGGATTAAATGTGACAATGTGTTGCCTTAAGACCGAGTCGGAGCACCTTTAACACTTTCTAGTGTGATAAGGGCAATCAGACGCAAAATGCCATCCACCACATTGCCAACAGGCCGTTTTCGGTTTCCTTGGGGAACCAAAATTCCCCATAGGTTTGCTGGCTTTTGCTTCGTTGGCTGATTGTATCCCCGAGTAGCCGAGTGTCGGTTTTGCTGTTCATGATGCGAATGCACGCCGCTGCTAACTCTTGTACCGTCATTTCGGTTTTCTAATTTAACTGAGTAAGAAGGCGTGTGCGGATGTCGGCGTTCTCAGGCAGCATCAAGGCTTGAATAAATAGATGGGCCTTTAACCACTGGATAGTGGCTGTTTCTAAGTCCGCTTGATGATACACATTATTCAGTCGGACGGCTAGATAAAAGTAGTCTTCATCTGGCTGCCTCTCTAGTTTGAAACACTGTAAAATAGCGACTTAGAAAAAGTGAATAAAGACTTCAAATTATTAACTGTGTCCGAAAACGATATGTCAACCGGCTTTATGGGTAAGAAAAACTTTACGTACCGCTCTTGTTCTCGTTGACCAAGTCTGAACAGTAGGACCTCCACCTCTGTTTTATCCTCAATTTGTTCTCCTTCTTCAAAGCGCCCTTCGTATTTTCAAAACGGGACCTCGAAATGCAAGCCTCTACCCGGGTTGTATGTGAACTCAGCAATAATGTCCTCGAGCTGCTTTCTTTTGCTCTCTGTGGATATTAGCCCTCCCAACTCGTTGCATTTCCTTGAAAAGTGCCATCGCGGTGGCATGCTGTGCCTCAGTCATTTATTTTAATTGTTCCTTTGACATCGTATTGTTCGACATGCGTCCCCAGTTGTTATGACCCCAGTGGTAGGCAGAAGACAAGGCAAGGAGCCGGCTCTGGTGGCAAGGGCTTTATTCAGGACAACACAAGGACAGTGGATTTTTCAGCTTGTCCACTCCAGAGTATTTATAGGGTTTTGCTCCTTCTGAGAGAATCCTGGCCTATCGTGTGCGAGCGGTGTTCTGGCCTG